AACAGAACAGCAACGACAACAGCAATGCCAACAGCAATACCAACAGCAACTGCAACAACAACAGCGAAAACAACAACAGCAACAACAGCAACAACTGCAACAACAACAGCAACAGCAACAACAACAACAACAGCAACAACAACAACAGCAACAACAACAGCAACAGATGACCAAACAACGAAAAAAAAAACAAAGACAACAACAACAACAGCAAAACTTACTTGTTCATGACCACAGTACTCATATTTTCCGGGTCTCCTGTTGCTCTTTCTTCAACGATTTTAAAATAGTTCTCTGCTCTTTCCAAATCTCCAAGCTTTTGAGGAAAAAAAGTGATAAAACCATTGAATAATGCTCAATCTTAAAAGCAAGTATTGCGTCAGATCCAATTGAAAGGAGTATAGTAAATGGTTTCCCATCGTGCTCTCTTCATCTGCCGAAAACTTCTTATTACGACCTTACGCTATGCAGGTAGTTGTTGCTTCTAAATCGAGGTATAAATCATAACATTGAAATGCTTTCCTATTGTACTCTATCCATTTAAAGGTAGAGGTAAAGTTACTATATTTAACGTCGTTAGTACATTCTGCTACGTAGCTGGTATCCCAGGAAGCCGACGATGCGCACTTTAACCCCTCTCTCTATCAAAAAACGTCGAGTTGACATAACAGTGCATTGGGAGACTGTTTTAGGGGACAAAATAGACGCCATCTTGGAAATATGGCCCCAAACCCGTCCCACAATGCACTGCAATGCCAACTCGACTCAGTTTTTTCCTCCACCTCGGAATGGGTAATAAGTGACCCGGTAGTTTACAATCTAGTGTAACAGGACCTTTAGCACGCAGCACCCATGGATGAAAATAAATATACAAATTTATTCTTTTCTCCCGGCAAAGCCCAGGAGGACACTAAAGGAACCAGGTCCCATTTGAAGTGCCCCCACACTCACACACATACTATATTCAACATTCTATACACACTACATTTAACTAATATGTCTTTTTTTTTACGAAGGCAAGGGAGAGAACAACACATCAAATAAACTCTGTTCGCATGTGACAATCGCAGTGCTCGAACAAGCCACCCAATCCTTTAGATCCACAATGGTGAAAGGCGACGGAAATATAACCATCACACGAGAAAAACTATTGCATAACACAAATACCTGTAGGTAAATCCTTCCGATGCCAGAATAAAGAGCAGCAGAAAGTGTCTCATCCTGTTTGATTATTGATTCGAAAACTGAAACTGCTAAATTATAATCCTGAAAGAAAAACAAAGGTGATTGGAATAGGATTAGGAGGAGGGAGTGAGGCTGCTGCATGGTGTTATGGGGAAATGGAAATTGATCGTCATGGTAAGCCAATTAGCGCGATTAGTTATACTATTTCTGAGTAACCTTTACCCTGTTTTAGTAACATTGAATGTTGTGAATATTAATATGCACAAATCTTGGTAATAAACGTCTTAAAAACCTATGGTAACAAGTAGACTGAAAAAAAGCTCCATTCTCCTCGTTCTTTCAATATGGTATACAGCTATTTTAAAAACGTTGGCAAAGGTTTTGTTGTATGTTGCATGTTGT